TGAGTCCATTTGAGGTTGTCTATGGTCGGGCTCCTACTAGGGTACTTGACTTAGCCCCTTTTCCAAGCGTGGGTCGTCTAAGTCAGAAGGCGGATGAGATAGCAGAACATCTTCGGGGTATCCATGAACAAGTAAAGTTAGCCATTCATGAGAGTAATGCCAAATACAAGATTCAGGCTGACAGTCACCGTCATCGGGTTGTTTTCGAAGTTGGTGATTTTGTTTGGGCGGTATTAACTCGTGATCGTTTTCCTGTTGGGGAGTATAACAAGTTTAAGGAGTGAAAGATTGGTCCTTGTGAGGTTCTGTAGAAGATCAACGACAATGTCTATCGACTACGCCTCCCCAGCCATTTAAAGACTTCTGATGTATTCAATGTGAAGCATCTAAGTCCTTGCTTTGTGGATTCTGAAGATACTCATGTGAACTCGAGGACGAGTTCTTTCCAACCCGGGGCAACTGATGCAGGGGGATCCGAGTCAGACGAGACCGAACTGTCTGATAATTCATTAATGACGCTGAGATACCATGAGTTGGCAGATCAGCGCAAGAATGGCAAGTAATGATCGATCTTTCCTAATTGGGGTCGCTTTTGGACATGTTTCGATATTTTGACCATAACTTTGGCTACGGTTGTCAGAATCATGCCCATGACCCCAATTCGGAAAGCTCTTTCCGGCACGCACGTCGTGGACACTTAGCTATGCTCGATGTGCATCGGTTTCGAAGCCAAATTCAGCTATTTTCCTGTTCGAATCATCAATTTAAGTTATTTTTTGCAATTTTTAGTAATATTTCTATTTTTTTGGGCATAGATTACGATCTCAAATTTAGCCAGATTTTTGGAATCTTCTTCCTTTCATTACGTATTTCGTTTTGATTTGAATAATATAATTTTGCTATTTTTNATTTTGCTATTTTTGGCAAATTTCCTATAGCTGCTATTTTTCTGGCTATTTAACCCGGCGTGTGGGTTATTTTCATTCAGTTGTTGAATAATAAAGATTTTTCTCGTTTTGTCTTTGTGTTTCTCTTGCGTTCTTCTCTGTATTTGTCAATTGGTTCCATCCTACAAAATAATCACTATTCTGTCCGGCGTCAACATCAGAGATTCCATTGGTGGGATGTTGAAGAAGCTTGGGGTCAATTTTATCACTTTGATAGATTATTCCGACCTTAGGTTGTAACAAATCATTGTAATCTATACTTTATATCTACACTTAATCATGGGGAATTTGGGTGATAAATATCATGTCAAATGTGAATGTGATAGATTTACACAAATACGTGTCATGAAATCAATTGAACTCTTACTAAAAACACATATATAGGTGACAAATAACAAGCCAAAATAGGGTAACACCCTCACTCCGTATGTTTTAAGACTAAAACAAAAAGGTCACGTGATTTCTTAGTAGAACGAGCCTTCAACCCTTGTACAGTATTCCTTTTCTCCTACTTCCGCCAACACAATATGTAGACAAAACGAAAGCTCATGCGTGGCTGTGATTTCATAAAGATAGGTCTGACGCATGTAAGAATGTACATGTACTAGAAGAAAGATTGACATAAAGAAATGAATTGGTTGTATAATTAAGTCGACAGTTAAAAGAAGTAAAAATTAGTAGAAATTAAGCCCCCTTTGGTGAAAATTAAAATTTTAATTTTAATCTAAATTAAAATTAACAATTAATTTCAATCATATATTTTAAGGGATCCACGACTTTTCAACTATTCATTTCATTAACTGTTATCAAAATCTACTAAAAATCTAATTTTAATATATACCAAATAAGGGCTAAATATAGAAGTGCAATGAATTAATAAATATTCAATATTTGGTCGGTTTGAATTGGATCAACTTATTAATTACGATCAAAATACATTGATACCCTATGGGATATTTAGCTCTCGTTCTCATTTTCTAAAATATATATATATTTTTTCAAATTTCTTTTCAATCATATATTATATGAGATCTACTATTTTTATCAATTTATCAATTACACATTTCATAAACTTTTATCAAAATTTATTAAAAATATTTTTTTTTTATGTAAATCAAATAGGGGCATAATCTTTTGCAATAATACTAATTCTTTTTGGATTTTCAAAATATTACAGAATTTTTATGTAGGCAAACAACAATATATATTTTTCATTTTACCTTTTTATTTTTGTAGCAGATTGGAAATTGCCTTTTCTATTTGATTTTTAGAGCATGTTTGAGTCCCATTTTTTGCCCAAAATATATTTTGAAATAGTATATTGCTAGACAATGTATGGATAAAAAATAAGGAAAAATTTTGAATTTACGTGTAATATTATTATATTGAAGAATGTGTGGTTGAAAAAATAAGAGAGAGAAAAATATATTTTAAAAATCATAGGTATCAAATAAGGGCTTAATTTAAATGAAATTATAAATTATTCTTTAGCTTAAGTTGCTACTTTCTTTTCCTATTTTTGCATAAAGTGATTATATCTCGATAACATTTTTGTCAAACTTTGATTTTTAAATTGATAAAAAAGGGTAAAAAAAAAAAAACTAGTACGAAACTTTGACTAGCAAAAGGAAAAATAAGATACTCAAAACTTTGAATTTCATTATTGTTAATTTTTTTTTTTTTTGTTGGAAAGGAACTCTGAACTTTAATAGTGGAACTTTGTTGTACTAAAATTAGATTTTTAGTAAATTGTGATAGAAATTTTTGAAATGTGTAGTTGAAAAACAATAAAACCCATGAAAAATGTGGTTAATATTAATTGTTTAACTTTAACTTAAATTAAAATTTGATTTTTATCCGAAATAAGCAGGGCATAATAATATTACGAGTAGAAAATATAAAAAGTAAAGAAAATGTCACGAAATCAATAAATCTAATAAATAGCAAAATATAAACTTATTTTCTTTTCTTGAAACTAAATATGTAGAACTGCGTTTTGCTTTTTAAATAAGAAAAGATAGAAAAGAACATGTTTTATTTCGTAGTATATATCTTCTTTCTTGATACTAAATATGTTGAACTACGTTTTGCTTTTTAAATAAGAAAAGATAGGGAAAAAATGTTTTATTTCGTAGTATATATATGTTCCAAAAGTCAGTTTTTTGCATATTCGCAGAAAAGAGATGAAGTCATTTTATAATGGTCATTTACTATAGGATATTTTCTATATAGACATCACAATTTTTATTTTTTAGACATTTTTTTTTCTTTTTGTAAAAGAAAAATGGATACTTGCAATGAAAAGTTTACAATGTCCAAAGATGGAGATTACAAGCTAAAAAAACTATACTTCATTCGTTCTAATCATACTTGTTAGTATTTGCCGATCGTAGATTCTCTGTGGCTCGTCATTGCATTCAAACTCACCGGTTGAAAAATATTTTGAAATGCTATAATCTTACCTCAAGTTCGGAAAATCCATAGCTTCGTCATAGTTTTGTTATACTACTTTTTAATTGTATTAAATATACATTTGATTGCGAGTATGAAATTTGTATTAAAATAAATAAATTTTAGATAATTCAATTATTTTCAATTGAATGTGTTTTATTGATTTAGTTTTCAACCTAGAAAATATTATACTTATCTATTTTTTATTTGTAGATAGATGAGAGAGATGATAGATGAAAGAGATAAAAAGAGTGAATTATCAGAAAAATAAAAATCACCCCTCCCTAAAAAAAATATTTTCCTTGTTTTGGAGAAAAAATATGGTCACATGACCACAAATCGAAAAATATTTTTCATGGAAAAATTTGTCAATCAAATACCTCAAAAATAAGAATTTGAATGAAAAATAAATCCAATCAAACACACTCTAAAAGTTTTTCCAACCTTTGCTCATTGTCGCACGTGTCTCGACTATTTTTTCATCGTATTGTTATCTTCGACCTTACATGAATTAGCACAATTTGTTCATGGTGGTGATTTCTTTCCAAAGTCTGTTAGGAGGGTATACTCATATTTTTTAAATAAAAAAATAAATAAATACAGAAGTGCAAGGGACTGGATGTACTAATTAAATTTGAAAAAAAAAGAGAGAAAGAAAATGACACAAATAATAATAAGCAAAATTAAAGACTTTTAGCGCAACTAAAAAGTTGTGCCTTAATGGTCCGTTTGATTAGTTTAAATTCTATGGAAAATATTACATTCGAAGAATTCAATTTCTATTTTGACTGCTTGATACGAAAGTGAAAATGAAATTCGAATTTCAAAGTACAACCACTTTAAGCTTTTTTTTTTGTCAATTTCATGAAAAATGCATTCCTATGGAATACTTTAATTTTTATTCTCCAACTTACATAGAACTGAAAAGCCTTTCCACCTTTACCAATCATTGGGACCTTAAGGCCCTGTTTGATTTGACTTTCTTTTCTATGGAACTAATGGAAGATGGAAATTAAAATTCATTTTTTTTTTTTTCATTTAATTGAAAATTTTCATAAAAAAAAAAAAAAAACAAACGAATACCAAAAGATCCAAAATTTCAATATTTTTCAGGTGAAAAATTATACAAATTAAACACAATTAATTGACAATTTCCAATAAAACAAGTTCTAGACAATTCAATTTCTTGGAATTCATTTTCATTCCACCCAATTCAATTCTTGCAATCAAATTGACCCCCAAGAGAAAAATATGGTGGCAAATTGGCAATATGAGAGAGAGAGAGAGAGAGAGGACAATAATGTTGCATGTAGAAAATCTGTGTAAACTGAACTTGTTCTGATATCAAAGACCCCTTCACGGACTGAACTCCAGTCACGGATTAGTCTTGAAGTTTGCGAACAACAACAACAATACAAAAAATTTCACACTTCATTTTCCCAGTTTATGACTTTATGTACACATTGTCCTTATCAAATAATTTTCATTTCCATTTCTATCCAACCCCTCACGGGTTGTTCATACATTTCAACTATAAAATATCAAACCCTTATCAGAAATTTAAGAAGAATATTGGAATTCACTTGGGAACCCTATTAATCCATGGGTCCTAGGGTTCATGCAATTTTCTTGATATGCATGATTTGCATGTTTATTGCATTGTCACCTGCCTATGCTGGGGGAAATTGCCCACCTTCTTATCCTCCGTACCATCGTCCTAGCCCACCGTCAACACGGCCACATCCACCGTCGACCCCCCGACCACACCCTCCCTCGACTCCTCGAACACCGCAACATCCCCCTTCAGTTCCTAGACCATTGCCTCCAAGGACTCCTCGCCCACATCCACCATTTACCAAACCCCCCCCTCACCATGGTGGAGCACCACCGAAAGTGTTGCCTCCCATAAACAATCCACCTGTTATTACGCCACCAATTATTATGCCACCACCTGTTATTACGAACCCTCCTGGCATTATCCCCCCCATAACAAACCCTCCTGGCATTATCCCCCCCATAACAAACCCTCCTGGCATTATCCCCCCTATAATAAATCCTCCCGGCATCATTCCTCCTATAGTTAACCCTCCTGGCATATTACCCCCTGTAACAAGGCCTCCACCTTCTTCTGGCTACCCACCTTATACGCCACCTGGCAGCGGATGCCCCCCTGGAGGAGGTGTGCCAGGCATTAGCCCCCCACCGGCTGCTAGTTGTCCGATAAACGCGCTAAAACTAGGGCTGTGTCTTGATGTTCTTGGAGGTTTAGTTCATGTTGGGGTAGGAGATCCTGTGAAAAACATATGCTGCCCAGTTCTACAAGGATTGCTGGAACTAGAAGCTGCAATTTGTCTCTGCACAACCATAAGACTTAAACTTCTTAACCTTAACATATTCCTTCCTCTTGCACTTCAAGTTCTTGCAACCTGTGGTCTCACCCCTCCTCCTGGTTTTGTATGTCCACCTCTCTAAATGTATCTTCTGTGCCTATCAAACAAGAAAAGAGCAAAAATAAATGGAAATTTGTGCTTTTTATCATGACTTGAGGGTTTGTGTCTTTCTTTTGTAACTTGGGTTCTCTGGGCAGGGCCGTACCTGAGATTTTCAAAGCCTGTGGCGAACTCTAGAGATTGGGGTACAAAACTATAGCATGCATTAAAAAAAAAATTTAATCATAAAAGTTTTACGAAACTAAATTTATTAATTTAAAAATCAACCGTAAAAGAAGAAACAAAAAGTAATATTGTAGATATATATTTATAATTAAATAACAAGGCCAAGTGTTTAAACTTATGCCTCGTGGGCAACGCCTACTACAGTTGGTAGAGAGAGTCGCTTAAAAAAATAAATTACTTTCTTATTCAAAAACTTCGTTAAACGAAACATAAAAGTAACCTATTTTGAGTTAACAATACATAAAATAGACTAAAATATGGCATAAAAAAAATTGACAACATTGTATTTAAAAAGTGCAAGTTTTGATTAAAAACAAACTAAAAGAATCGAAAAAAAATTTGTGAAAATAAATGGTTATCAAAGTTTGATGAGATTTATGCATAAAAAGGGATTGAGTAATTCTTTTTCTAAATTTTGGAATAGAAAATGGAGGAAACATTTAGGTCTAAATTGGAATTTGTTTATTTTGTTTTTGTATTTATGTGCATGGATTTATTTCTATGTGCCTATCTCAAAATAAATAAAATAAACGAAGGAAGGAAGGAAGGAAAAGGACATGAGGGTTAATTGGAATTTGAACCCATGACCTTCCATAAGGGAAATTGAAAACCTTGCCAACAACCAAGTGAACCTTAGACTTCATCAAATCACCTTGACCATCCCATTTGTCCTCAATGGTTTCCTACCCTTAGGAAGATCCACCAACTCATACGTAGATGTCTTCCTTAAAAGAGTTCATTTCTTCTGTCATTGCTTTCATCTAATTGATTTTATCTCTGTAAGTCTGTAACTCTAAAAAAAAATTTAGCCCTCCATCGGCGGTAAGAAAAATAGTCAGAAGTAGGATATCTACTATCTAGAAGATGGCTTGTTCTTTCTAGCAGACCTTCTAACATGTGCTTCTTCTTCTTCTCCATCAACTAGAATCACCATGAGCAATGTCATCTATCACTCTCTTAGGCTGCTAAACTTTATTAAAAATCTCAATTGTCTGGTCTTCCTAAAAAAAAATCCTATCTTTGCCACACAATCTTCTTTTTCTCTGTATCCCAAAATTTATGCCCAAATTGTATCACCATCCTTCAATCCTCATCAGTTCAAACTTTTTTTGGAATATCAAAATCCAAAAACGCTGAAGGAGATCTATTGATCAAGTAGCAAGCAGTCTGCAATTCACCTTCAAGAGTCACACCCATGTTTCCAGCTAATCAGCACATTCTGAAAACATTTCAAATGCTTTGATCCGCTCATGCCATCTTTGTATTTCCCCTTTCCCCGTGCAATTAAAATAGGAACGCCAGATCAACTCAACCAACCAATTTATCAATTCAAGCAACTCAACCAAGCCAATGCAGAAGAAATAAAATACCTGAATAATAAAGCAACAAGATAACACCTAGAATTATTTAACGCCGGAAAACCCTTAAGACAAAGGAAAAATCGACTAGGCAATTGACAATTCCACTATCACAGAATAGAAAAATACAATGTTTTCTTCTCAATGTTTATGTGCAAAATCAAGAAGTAGTCCAACTGGCTACATCAAGATATAATCTTGGTATACCACAGCATCCATCATCTAATAATACTACGAGGAATCCACATAAATCCTCTACATATATAAAAGAGGAAAGTTTTTGTTACTGTTCAAATCGCGTCATCGGCATGTCACGCTGACGTCGGGATCCACTAAAATAGAATAAGCGTTATTTGGCTTCCCTTTTCCTTCCTTTCTCCACATTCTAGACGGTTCTTTCTCTCTCCTTCTCTCTCTCTCTCTACACCATTTCTTGCGACCTTCGAGTTACTTATGAAGCCCTAATGGATTTCACGTATTTCCTCCATTTCAGCCGTGTTTCTGGGTTTCTTTCCCCTCATTTTCTCTGTATCCACGTACTTGTTTCTCTCTGTATCTACGGTCATTCTCGCCACGTGTGCCTTTTTTGAAACCCGAACATATTTTTGTAATTTTGTCCATTTCAAGAGTTTTTGGTTTTTGTTTCCTCTCATTTCCTGTAGATCTAGATGCTTTTTTCTCTGTGTTGGCGTTTTTTCTCGCGACCTCGATTTTTGTTTTCGGACTGTGGTAGATCTGATGCATTTTTTTTTCCGTTTCAGGTCCTAATTTGTTGTGGTGTAATTTACTTGAAAGTTCGAACGAAATTTTATACCTTATCGTTGTTGATTTGAAATCTTGTTATACACTCGACCCCCTCTTCCAATTTTAAAAATTAGGGTTGAATTGTATTGATTGCATTTCGTTATTTTTAATGGGTTTTTTTTTAGTGATCTAATAGGAGACTCGGCGTCTTCTAAGCGAACCTGGTAAATCCTATTACATCATTATA